GAAAAACTTGAGAAATTGGAAGATTAATACTATGAGATTAGAAACGGATAAATTAATTTACAGAAAAAAATAGTAAATTAAGGTTTTATGTACCGGAAAAAATGGAAGGACATGTACTACGAAAATATCACGACAAATTAGGTCATTTCAATTTAAAAAAACGTATAATGCAATCGAAAAAATCTATTGGTTTCCAAAAATGCGCACTAAAATTAAAGATCATATTAGTAATTGCCTGAATTGTATTGCGTTCTCACCAAGCACAGGTAAATCAGAAGGATTTCTACACCCTATACCTAAAGGTAAATTATCGTTCCAAACCTTTCACATCGACCACATAGGGCCCATAGACAGAAAGCATTTGATAAAACAGCACATTTTAGTAGTCGTCGATGCGTTTACGAAATTTACTAAATTATACGCGACAAAGATTTTAACTTCAAAAGAATCAATCAATTGGCTGAAACAGCATTTCGCGAATTACAGTCGTCCTCACACAATAGTAAGCGATAGAGGAACTAGTTTTACCTCAAACGAGTTTACAGAGTTTTTGAAAGAAAATAACATCCAACATGTATTGATAACCACCAGCTGCTCTAAAGCAAATGGACAAGTCAAACGCATAAACCTCGTATTAGGTCCACTGCTTGCGAAACTATGTAGTTGATAAATCCGCCGGGAATTATTGGTATAAGATGTTAATCGAAGCAGAATTTGCGATTAACAATACTACGAATAAGTCTACTGAGTATACGCCAATTATTTATTTTATTGTTTGGAGTAGATCAACGAGGCCCAAATATCGATGGGATCAAAGAATACTTAGAAGAAAAAGATGCTCCATCTGAGCGTGACCTTGAATCAATCCGCGAAGAAGCCAGTACAAATATCATAAAAAGTCAAGAGTACAATCAATATTATTTTGATCAGCGTAGAAAGAAACCGCATCAATATAAGAAAGGTGATTATGTCGGAATCTGTAATTTTGATAGCACTCCCGGAGCCCCGAAGAAGCTCAATTCTGGATTCAAAGGACCTTATGATATTGCTCTAAAAAATGACAGATACATAGTTAAAGATGTAGAAAATTCCCAAACATTACAACGCCCTTATAAAGGAACTTGAAACTGTAACAGAAGCTAGTAACATTAAGCCTTGGCATTATTGAACTGATGAAATAGCACAAAATAAAGTTTAACACTAAAATATTGTAATATTAAATAAGTTAAGTTACAATTATTTTAAAAGTCATATTTATAGCTCTGTCCGAGGTCGGACAGCTGGTCAGGAAGGGCCGAATTGTGAGATGTTTCTACTAATTTAAACGCGCACCCTCACGGCAACATTATTTTCGATCGACGCGATCCATAAGGCAATCAAGAAATGGCGTGCGAGATGGATAGGATTGTTTGTCGAGCCTCGCAAGTGAAAGGATTTAATTTATTTTTCTGTATATCGCCGAATAAAGAGTTGTGTTAATAACCGGGTATCTTTCTTAAGGATGTTCTGGTTGTACAATCATCCCAGACAAAAGTGACTGAAATTTGAAATTGATGAAATTCTATGCTTTTATAAGTTAAGATATGCACCATATCGTGCTCGAATCGTGTAAAGAACTTAAATAATGCTAGTTAATATGATATTTGGCACTACAAATAAATATATTTGTATA